AGCCCCCACTCTCATCCCCCTAATTACTAGCCCCTCCCACCCACCCCCCTTCCAAGAGTCCAGGAGAGAACCCAAGAGTCCTGGCTACTACTTACTCCATCATTCACTACTCCTCCTTCATCCCAAGCCAGAGAGAGAAGGCAGGAGTCCTGACTCCCAAGCCCTGCTCTAACCACTAGACACCACTCCCCTCCCATAGCCCTGGATAGAAACCAGCAGCCCTGGCTCCTCGACCCCTCCCTACACTGGACCCCACTCCCCACCCAGAGCTGGAGAGAAAAGCATTGCTGTGACGCGGCCCCTTGGGGTGGGGTGCAGGAGCCGGTCCCCCCTGGGCACTCACAGGCCAGGAGCTGGCAGATGCCTGTGGCGTAGAAGAGGCCCCCGCGCTCCATGGTGTAGAGCTGGTACATGAAGAGGATGAAGGCGAAGCTGGAGAAGAGCAGAGCCAGGACCATGAGGCCTTGGACAGCTTGGAGCCACTCTGGGGAGCAAGGAACAGGCACTGGTGAGACTGCATGCCCCTCGCCCAGTGATGGGGGACAGGGTCCCTCTGGGGCGGGACATGGGGGCTGGGCAGATGGGCCCGTCGCTGAGACACCACCCCTCTGTGCCTCATCACCCCCAGCATGTCCATACCACCCCTCCCAGGCTCACCATCCCCTTCCACCCCTCCCAGAACCCCCTGCTCTGGGGCCCCCACTCACGGCTTTCAGACACCGAGGCACATATCCAGCTCTGGGTGGCGTTGTCGTACAGACAGTCGTACCAGAGATTGACGGTCTCCTCATCCGGCAGCACCCACCATGACTGGAGGGACAAGGGGAATTAACAGGGGGGCCTGAGATGCTCCCCCCCCCCAGGGACTTGGGCCAGGGGGCCTGTGTTCTCTCCGTGGCTCTGGGAGGGGTGTGGGGTCTAGTGGCTGTGGGGAGGGAGCAGGACTCCAGGTTTCTCTCCCCTGCTGTGGGAGGGAAGTGGGGTGTAGTGGTTACAGCAGGGGAGCCTGAGAATTAAGTTGGTTCTCTCCCCAGCTTAGGGAAATGAGTGGGGGCAGCGGGGGTGAGGGGCAGCAAGGACTTGCTGGTTCTTTCCCTGGCACTGAGAGGGGAGTGGGGTCTAGTGGTTAGATGTGCGGGGAGGATGGGGGTCAGGACCCCTGGCCCAGTTCTCTGCCTGGTGCTGGGAGGGGGACATCTCACCTTGTCCAGAGTGGCGACGAAAAGCAGCACGAGGATAAAGACGTGCAGGGCCGTCACGCCGAAGAGGAGGAAGCTCATGGTGAGTCCTGGGGGTGGTCAGAGATGGTGGTGTCAGTGGGGAAAATGTGGCCAGGCCCACAGACCTCCTGAGACCTGGGCCAGGACCCCCTCACACTCCCCCCCCAATCATGCTGGGAGCCATCCCACACTTCCATCCCCCCCAGATTCCTGGTCCCCCCTGTCCTTCTGCATCCCCCTTCTCCCCGGTTGTGAGCCGCAAAGGAACCACTACCTCTCGGCTGAGGCGGGAAGTTCCTCCCTCCCCCACAGGCACCGTCCCACCCCCAAATCTTTGACCTCTCCACGCACACACAAACCTCCCTCTGTCCCAGCCTCGCCTAATGGGTTCCAGATGCTCTGGGATCATGTGAGCACGGGGTGTGGGCCTGGATTTCCCCACAACCACCCTAACACACACCCATCAGCCCCCTCCTCCCCACTCTGCACCACTGGCCCCCACCCTGGCCCCCTGCCTTCCCATTTTTCAGATGGCAAGACAGAATACCAGGGTAATGGGCAGAAAGGGGGGTGGGATGCCCAGGGAAGGCGGGCCCATCAGTTTAGCACTGAATAGTTCCTCCTCCAGGGACATTCCCGATTTGTTCAGGGCATCTCAGCTGGAGCATGTGTGGGAATCCTGCCCCCCCCCTCGCCCCTCCGCTCCATCAGCCTCGGAGGTTGGATTCAGGCCAGCGCTCCCCATCCCAGGTTTCTGTACGGGGTGGCTCTTTACACTGGGACTCCTCCCCTAGAGCTGAAACCCAGCTCCCTTGGCAAGGGGCATGGGAGCTGGATCCCCAGGGACACCCCCCACACCTGCTGGCAAACTGAGGCAACCAAAATGAATCCGGTGGGATTGTGGCAGAACAGCAGGGTCCTTTCCCTTCCCCCCACGATTTGTAGCAGAAAGGGGATCTTTACAGAGCATGGACTCCCCCCACCCCTCTTTCTGCAGCCCCAGCGCCCCCTACTGGGTCCCCGCCCTGCTCCCTGCTGCACAGCAGGACACATGGGGCTGCTCTGAGTCACAGTAACCCCCTCAAAGGCGGCCCCAGCCCTTCCCTGCAGCACGGTGGCCAACCTGGCTCCCAGCCCAGGCCTGTCCAGCCACAAGTTAGTATTTTCTGCTCTAAATCAAGACACCATTGAAGAGACACAAACAACTGACCATTGATTGCAGCGGTGCAGGCCTGGGTGTGACCAGCTGCCCCGCTGAACAGGCATGGAGCCTCTCCCCTCTAGGGGCCACCCGACCCAGGGACTGGGGCTAGTGGAGGGAGGGGGGAATGGGGCAAGGGGCCTTTCCCCTCTAGGAAGCTATTTTCTGCTCTAAATCAAGACACCATTGAAGAGACACAAACAACTGACCATTGATTGCAGCGGTGCAGGCCTGGGTGTGACCAGCTGCCCCGCTGAACAGGCATGGAGCCTCTCCCCTCTAGGGGCCACCCGACCCAGGGACTGGGGCTAGTGGAGGGAGGGGGGAATGGGGCAAGGGGCCTTTCCCCTCTAGGAAGCTCCAGCTCCTACTGCATTGTGGGTGTCTGTCTGTCTGTCAGCCCAGTTTCTAGTGGCATGGCGTTCCACAGACCCCAGGTGGCGCAAAGTCCAAGGGCTGGATGGATCCTGAGAAAAGAGATTTGGGCCACCCGACCCAGGGACTGGGGCTAGTGGAGGGAGGGGGGAATGGGGCAAGGGGCCTTTCCCCTCTAGGAAGCTCCAGCTCCTACTGCATTGTGGGTGTCTGTCTGTCTGTCAGCCCAGTTTCTAGTGGCATGGCGTTCCACAGACCCCAGGTGGCGCAAAGTCCAAGGGCTGGATGGATCCTGAGAAAAGAGATTTCTGCTGGGGCTGTTTGTGTTGAGGAGGGGGTTGGTGTACCGCGGGGGGG